TTCTCGTCGTTATTTGTTGACCAGCGGATTAATGGGAAACATCTTTGATTAGCATATATTCCATTTGGTTCTACTGTGCCTATGTGGCTTATAGCTATTAATTCGAATGAAGATTTGTTGAGATACTGATGTAATATATATGGAACACATTTCTAAAAACTTCAGGCAAGATGCCTGGCCCGTGTTTTTATATTTTAAGTAGAAATAGAGGTAAAAATGAAGTTCGAATGAGCTTTTTAGGAAACTGTCGAGAGAGAGTTTTACTAAATCCCAAGAGAAATGCTGTCAGATCTTTTAGAAAGAGCGAATGTTCTCTACATAAGGTGGCATAAACTGCCCGAAGACTACCTTTAGTTAGCCATTTAATAAATAGAGCTCCGCATGCAGTCAAAGTTCTGAGTCGAGTCTATGAAAAACAGTTTTTATAGTCCATGAACTCTAAAATGATAGTCCGACTGACTTTTCATTGATTCAATTGAATGCAAAAAAATTTTCTCGAATTCAGACCAGTCCATGGTCTTGAAAGTTTGCGTCCAGTCCAGCAGTACGTCTTTTTATCATACTCTAGTAACAAAAAGTTACTTGTGACAAAAAGAAAGAGTATGATGATAATGAATGAATTGTTGAAAAATATTATCAATATTGCAAAAAATTTATCCATTCATTCACTACCAACTTTAAGTACCAACTTCGTTAGAAACGATACAATGTATTTAGATATTGTTAGATAAAATTTTTAATTCAAATTTCTAATGAAAATGGTGCACAATAACGGCAATGAACAACAATTACTTCCAGCACATCTTTATCAATACTATTATCCGAAAAAATGTATCCTTTGAATATTGATAAACATTATAGATTTTCTAAAGTTCATGGTGTGACATTTAAATCTAGATACAGGTGAAATTAATGTTTTATTTCAAGAATCAAAACACGATTATGATGGTTTATTTGATGCATATGATGTTACTGAAGTTTTAACGAAAGATGTTGTAAGTCCAACATTTATATTAGATCAGTCCAATACTGAATACAGATATAAACCATTTCAAGAAATAACATAAATTAGCTATGGGCATTATACATGCGAATTATTTATTAAAAATAATATCAACAGGTACAGAAGTTTGTTGTAAACCACTATTTCATAATGCGTCCAATATTAAATAGTTCTCTAAACTGAGTACCAGACGGCTTGTCCACGTAATGGTACACTTCGCTGATCAAGTTTTTGAAAGAACGTTTTCGATATCGAAATTTCTGCACACATGATTAGATGCAGTTTTCTGTTCTAAGAACCCGTTTGAAACTCGCTTTTAAAAAAGGTCATTTCATCCAAGAAAACCGGATTTTGAACTTTTCAGAAACGGGATTTTAAATTCTTTAATCAAAACATTTTTTAAAACAAATTTCTAAAAATATGCTTTTGTAGAGAATCTAGAAATGGCGTATTTGCTTTTGAGTTTACTTGCTATGTACAATTTGTACATAGTTGTACAGTTTCCGACTTACTGTCCAGTTTTTGAGCTCCTATTTTGATACAGCAACTTGATTTTTGCGCATATCGATCAGATATACAAAGAACACAGGAAGCTGTGAAAATCAAAACTTTACCATCACGTTAAGTGTCTCAAATATGCTTGACAAAAAAGTGCGTACGCCGTGACGTTTTTATTTTGCATCTTTCTCCCTAGCAAAAAGCGCGAGAAGAGACTTCTTTTTTCCATTGGATAGCCCGTCAATTACTCTATAAATTTTGCTTTAGAAAGTTCCTTTTTACATAATTAACTTCACAGGAAATTTAAGAATTCTCGAGAACGCTGGAAAAAAGGGTCTTTTTTCGTAATGCGTGACGTGACACTAAAATCCTTCTCAAAGCCCAATGCAACATCCAAAATCATTTTCACAACACAACTAGAGCATGATGAACTGCGTCGATTGACGTTTGAACGAACTTTTTAGCTAATTCAGTTTCCTAGATAACCGAAGTTTAGTGCGTCAAAAATGTAACGCTGTGTCGTCTGGACAAGCCGCAGAATCTAGCATTTATACGACAGAAATTTGAAACTATACAAAACTTTATTAATGAAACTGCAGAAAACACTACGAAAGAATACTTAACAAACATTGAGAATCAAATCATATACCCTGCTGCTACTTATTCGCGAATCTGAGAAGAAGGAGATACAGTTTTAAATGAACATGATATCGGCTATTCAAACGTACCACAATCTCAAATGATGAACTGAAATCTAGAACTGAATCACACTTAACTGAAACTGATAAAAACACTATCAATGCAATTACAGATGAGATGTGTATACATGTTGTTCTAATGATACATATACTATTGGCTAGAATAGAATAAAAATACACACGATTTCATTGATTTTATGCTCAAATCATTGAAACCATATAACAACAAAAATTTTCAAAAATATTTAAAACGATTCTTAGCTATGAGTGCATATCAAGAAGAATATCTATCCAGCTGTATTCTGTGATTATGAAATAAGTTGTATGATCGTATATGACTTACAATTAGTACTTGTTAGGGGAACTGTAAGTTCAAATGACCGATTATACAAATGTCAGAATGTATTAGAATTCGTACAATATGCGAATAAACATCGTCGCGTTCAGAATAGTAATGAAAGTGAGAATATTAATGATGAAAATAGATTTGACACGAATGATGGTAATGATGTCCATGGCAAAAACAAAGGTAAAACAAAGAAATGAATTAAAACAGTCAATCCGTTGAAAAATCTGAGTCTTGATTTAGTTTAATTGACTTAATTCAACATATATGACACAATTTCTTTTCTTCCATGTTTGATACATTTATATATTTATTCTTCTGCATATGAGTCAAACATACATTATTCTAAGAATTGATTTGGTATAGCAGGTGAATTTGAGAATAATTGACAAATGAAATATAAAACTGATGTAAATATCATGATTAACTAATCACAGTGAAATTTATTTTGATATTTCGACAGATTTTCTGTCATCATCAGAATATAAGATTATTCTTATATAGTGGAAAACGATATACATTTAAAGTTTACAAAAGCAAAAAAGAGAGAGAAAACCAAGAATCTACGTTGTGTTTTATATCTATGTGTGTGTGTGTATATATAAGAACGTTCTTATGTTGTTTAAAACACTGTTTTCGGGCCAATAAAATTGCACTCATTGAGTGCTTATCCAAATACTTTAAGTTTATATTTAGTTTTATTTATTGCCAAGCCTTTTGATTGATGTGTTAATATGCTCGCCTTTATTACACGTCCAGTTTGACTCTAGTATAATGGTTTCAGCATTGTTTAAGTCCATTATCCCTGATACGCCCACCTGGGGTCCAGCTGGACCCCAACGAGTTTCAAATTAATGTTATATGCACATAATATTAGATCGAATCATGCCCTT